ATTATGGAGTTCATACAAACCGGCTTCATGTTCCCTGGCCTCTCTATGCATTTCTTTCAGCACTTCCCCTGAGCAAGCACCTCCTTTGCCAGAGACTTTTTCCTAAGTAAACTGAGATTTATAGACCCTGGGCCCTCATTAGTAAATGTCCTAAGGAATTGCTCTTGAAATAGATGGTTGAGGATGTTCTAGTCTACTGTTTCTTCCTGGGATTGGTCCTATCTCTCTTTCCAAATTGGTTGGAGGGAGAATCCTACTTCTATGAATCTCAAGATATACTAGTCAATCAGTATATCTATATATTCATTAACTCTGTCCTAAATGCCTCTTTTTGCAGCTTGGTACAATAATGAGCAGATCCTTGTCCTGAGTAGTGAGGATTGGAGGTGAGAGTGTGGGATTCAAAAGAGATGTATAGATCCTAGCTCTGCCCTCTGGAAGCTTTTAGACTGTAAAGGAATTTAAGTGACACACTCAGGATACCAGCAGACAGAAAGGGAAAATTAGTTTCATCTGAACATCAGGATGGGCTCTAAGTGCTGGAGGGAAGAGGAGGAGGAAGGTTGGAGATGGGGATCAGTCAGGATGGCTTAGGAAAGACTTCCTAGACATGGGGAAAGATTTTAGAACATGATTGAGAAGAGCTAGAGGGTCAAGACTAGGAATAAAAGAGTGAGGAGGGCATCCTTGGCAGGGCAGGAACTTACTCAGGCCAAAGGCTCATCCCAAGAAGGGTAAGTCAGGATGTGAGGAGCTGAGCTAGGAAGGAAATGATGGGCATGCGGGTAGAGGGAGAATTAGGGTGGGGCTCTGACAGCTGGCTGAGAGATCTGGACTAAATAGAAATCTTTGGGATAACCACAGATTATCACACAGAGAAAGGGTGTTTCTGATTGAGGACAATGTTTCTCTGTGTTGTTATAAGCTAGATTTGTGATAGTCTCTCTCAGGATCCCAATCATGGGTTTGCTTTCTCTTCTATAAGTTTGCTTGTTTATTTGTTTGTTCTGCCTGCTTCTCTTTGTGACATAAAACATTATTATTTAATTTCCAGATGTTTTGTTCTTTGAATTGTTTCTCTGCTATCTTCATACTTTGTCTGCAGCCCACTGTCTCTCATCTTCAGTAAAAGTGGGAAGAACACAAGGAACACCTTGCACAACACAGCTGAGCGAAGCTGAAGTTATGAAAAGTATTAACCATTTCCCACTCTGGCATTCAGATGGTCCTCCTCTGGGATTCCTGCTCAGGGTCCATGGATGGACTTCAGAAGAGTGTAGAACTTTTTTTTTTTTTTTTTTTTTGAAGTGACCAACCTCAGAAGGGTCTGTTATTCAACAAATGTTAAGAACCACTATGGTGTCTATGTTGAGAGGTAGGTGGTTGGGGATGGTTCCCCAGAGAGAGAAATGTGGTACAAGCATCCTTAGTGCCCAGTAAGGAGCCTCCAGAGACAGTTGAAGGAGCTGAAGGAGAAAGAGGAATTGGGAAAAGGGAAGTGAGTTAAGAAGGAACTGGTAGGAGGGGTGCCTGATCCTCCTTTGATCTCCACCCTCTTTATAGCAAGTATTCCTTCTCTGTGTTCTCCATGACCTGATGATTACAGGATTCTAGTTCCTTTTCTATTTAAATATATTGAGTACCTGCCATTTATCAGACTCAGAACCTGGTCCTCTCACAGCATCACCTCATGCAAATCGTTTGTTGAGACTGAAGTGCGCAGCATGGAGTCAACCGCCTCCCTACCACATTCATGGACTATTAGCACCATTGCTTCCTGTCAGGGCCCTTTTCAATGCATTTTATTTTCTCCTTTCATTCTAATCTCTAGTCTCCTTTCCCCTCCTCACTGGAGGCACTTTTATAGTGCATTAAGCAATGTTCTTCTAATGTATTTAGATTCATTCGTCCCCTTAAAACATATACAGTGCTGACCGTGTGTCAGGGAATAGAGTCAGGAAGAAAACAATTTTAAAAATTCATGCTTTCATAGAGCTTACATTCTTTTGTACTGAGACAAATCATGAACAATTAAATAAGTAAAACATACAGTACCTTAAATAGTGGTAAGTGTTATGGGAAGAAAGGGGCAGTGCATCAGATACATTGTAGTTCTGTTTTGTTTTGTTTTGTTTTTAATAGGTTGATTATGGAAGGCATTGCTACGAATGTTCTATATCACCAAATGCCACTAAGGGAGCAATCATGTGGACATTTGGGCTTGCAGTGATGTAGTTATAGGGGACAGCCAATGTAAAGGTCTTGAAGTAGGTTTTGGTGTGGTATGTTAGGGGTCTGGAAAGGTTAGGAGGCCAGTGGCTAGAGAAAGAGAAGAAAGATAAACAGGAAGCTAAGAGGTATCTGGATCAGAGACAAATACTGTAGGACATTGTAGCTCATTGTAAATGCAGGTTTTGGTTTCTACTCTGAATAAAAAGAGAAACCAGTGGAAGGTTTTAAACAGAAAAACAACATGACATTTTTAACATAAATGTGTATCCTTGAAAAATATACAGAATTTTTGGGGTATTTTTAAATGTACGCAAATGACATTATGCTGTACATATCATCTTTCTTTTACTTTTGCTTCCTAACATTGTTTTTGAGCTGCCATCTATAAATCTACTTTATTATTTGTAACTGCTGTGTAATATTTCATTGTGCACATACAACACATTTTATATATGCCATATTCAGACAATGGTTTGAGGGAGTTACAAACTCTTTGTGAATTTTTTTTTTTAGCAAATAGTTTATTGTCAAATTAGTTTCCACATAACACTCAGTGCTCATCCCCACAGGTGCCCTCCTCCGTGCCCATCCCTCCTCCCCCCCACATCCATCAGTCCTCAGTTTTTGTCAGCATTCAAGAGTCTCTCATGGTTTGCCTCTCTCCCTTTCCCCCACCATTTCCCCCCTTCTTCTCCCCCATGGTCCTCCGTCAAGTTCCACCTAATCCTCCTATACGTGCAAACATATGATATTTGTCCTTCTCTGCCTGACTTATTTCGCTCAGCATAACCCCCTCAAGGTCCATCCACGTTGCTACACATGGCCAGATTTCATTGTTTCTCATTGCCATGTAGTATTCCATGGTATAGATAAACCACATCTTCTGGATCCACTCATCTGTTGATGGACACTTAGGCTCTTTCCATGTTTTAGCTATTGTGGAGAGTGCTGCTATGAACATTGGGGTCCATGTGCTCCTATGCCTCAGCATTTCTGTATCCCTTGGGTAAATTCCTAGCAGTGCTATTGCTGGGTCATAAGGGAGTTCTATTGTTAGTTTCCTGAGGAACCTCCACACTGTTTTCCAGAGGGGCTGTACCAGTTTACATTCCCACCAACAGTGTAGGAGCGTGCCTGTTTCTCCACATCCTCGCCAGCATCTAGAGTTCTCTGATTTGCTCATTTTAGCCACTCTGACTGGTGTGAGGTGGTATCTCAGTGTGGTTTTGATTTGTATTTCCCTGATGAGGAGGGATGCTGAGCATCGTGTCTTTGTGAAAAATTAATAGGGAGTTACCAGTTTTAATATAAGCTCATAGAGCAGGGCACATTCTCTAGGCGGCTGGCTGCTCACTGCACAAATGGCACAGAGTGTTTATAGATCACTGAGTCACTAGTGAGACTGCAGAAGAATTAAACTCGCCTTCTCTGCTAGAACCCAGAGTGGGAGAACACAGAAGAAATTATTTGGTGGTGAGCTACTGAACTAGGTGACTTGCTCATTTCCTCCCTACCCATCATATTCTCATTACTGTGGACATAAAATTGTTTTGAATTTTTGCCTGGTTGCTTTGAGTGAGGTTTACAGAACGTCAAAATTCACAAAATGACCATTCTGGCTCTTTTCCCTTCTTAGCAATAGACCATTGTTTTGCTGCTACAACCATTTCTCCAGTGTTTCCTTACCTGAGAGCCTATTCTTCTCCTTGTAGGTAGTTATGAAAGCCCTTCCTCTTTTGCCCTCTTCCTTTCTTCTCATAGTGCCCCTGTGGGCTAGGTGGTTAAAGGGTAATGTTGTACTGTAGATTCTTTCACATCAGTAAAGCTAAATGGATGATGCAGAATGAAGAGAAAGGAGGCCAAAGTGATATCTGACATTGTGTAGTGGATTTTGTGGCTAAGGCTTTTAAGACAGAGGGATCAATATTGGTATTTTATTTTATTATTTTTTAAAAATATTTTTATTTATTTCTAGGAGAGAGAGAGAGAGAGACAGCGTGAGCAGGGGAGGGTCAGAGAGAGAGGGAGACACAGACTCTGAAATAGGCTCCAGGCTCTGAGCTGGCAGTCAGCACAGAGCCCGATGCGGGGCTCGAACCCACGAACCGCGAGATCATGACCTAAGTGAAAGTCAGACGCCTAACCGACTAAGCCACCCAGGCGCCCCAATATTGGTATTTTAAACTCAGGTGATAATTTTTTAAAAAATGGTTCTGTAATTGCAATGAGGCCCTCCATTTTGTGAATCAATTGTACATAAATCATGCCCAAGCACTGTGCAAACACAGTGTAAATTATTGCAGAATAAATTTATGCCTTGTTGTGTCTTACAGCTTAATTAGTACGTGAAGCTACGTGAGTTAGATGAACACAAATGCGTTTATGTCAGTTCATAAAAAAGCAGAATGTTGAGAGGTATTTGGCACTTTTCTGGGAATGGGTGAAGGAAGGTTAATTTTTCTATGATTTCTTTTGATATCAACTTCTGTGATATTTGGGCTGCAACAGGTGACATGTGACTTCTGAGCTTTGGTTGGTTGTTTGAACATCATTGTTCAATAAATATTATTGTTTTCCATGTCTTAGGCATTATGGAGGTACATACCAGATACGAGAATGAAGCAGCAGCTTTGAAGCCTGAGCAATGGAACTCCACATCTCCAACCTACCTTGGTTAACTCAGCCTCACCAAAATCAATCCAAGAGTCTCCACTCACTGGTCTTGCTACAACTCTCTGATCCTAGAATTCTCCTCAATTACAGCTAGAATGCAGTGTCAGGCACTTCACAGATTTGGTCAAAAGCTGATATGCAGACGTACACTGGAGCAAGATGTGCCTGAGATGGGCTATTTTGGAAGACTGAGAACTCTGGATTTAGTGGCCCTTGGTGTGAGTCGTACATTGGGTGCAGGTGTGTATGTCCTGGCTGTTGAGGTGGCCGGCAGTCAAGCAGGACCATCCATTGTGATCTGCTTTTTTTTGGCTGCCCTGTCTTCTGTGTTGGCTGGGCTCTGCTATGCAGAGTTTGGAGCCCGAGTTCCCCATTCTGGCTCTGCATATTTCTACTGTTATGCCATTGCAGGTGAACTCTGGGCTTTCATTACTGGCTGGAATCTCATCTTCTCCTACGTTGCTCGTACAGCCATTGTAGTCTTTGCCTGGAGTTTAGCTTCTGACAACATGTTTGGGAACCAGATATCTTGGACCATACCTGGGAGCACTTCATCGCTTGTTCCCCAGTCATTTGAAGGACAGACATTCGTGTCCATTATTGGTCTTCTGATCTTTATCATTGTATTTCTGATACTGAGGAGTATATCATTTCTCAGCTTTACCAAAGTATTCACATTGGTAAGCCTTTTGGTTCTTGGTTTTATCATCATCTCTGGCTTCATTAAGGGAGACCTACACAACTGGAAGCTCACAGAAGATGACTACATAATGATTGGACTCAATGACACCTTTGGCTTGGACCCTCTGGGCTCTGGAGGATTTGTGCCATTTGGCTTCCAGGGGATTCTCCGTGGAGCAGCTACCTGTTTCTGTGCATTTATTGGTTTCGACAACATCATTACCAGAGTTGAAAAAGCCTGGGACCCCCAACATTCCGTTCCCAAGGGCATTGTGATTTCACTGTTCATCAACTTTTTGGTGTATTTTGGTGTCTCTTCAGCACTTACGCTTATGGTGCCTTACTATGAGCTTCAACCTGGGAGCCCCTTGCCTGAGGCATTTCTCCTTATTGAGTGGCTCCATGCCTACTATTTTGTAGCTTTTGGATTTTTCTTTAGTCTGTCTGCCAACATTTTAGACTTTATGTTCCCCATTCGCAGGCTGATATACATTATGGGACAGGATAGCCTCCTCTTCACTGACCTTACTGGCATATACACCCTCATCATGGCCACTGTGATTTTTGCCATTATTGCAACAATCATGGCATTTTTATTAGGACTCACTGATCTTGTGGACCTCGTGTCAATTGGGACCCTGCTAGCTTACTCCCTGGTGGTTGTTTGTGTTCTCATCTTCAGGTATCAGCCTGAGGTGAAGAAAGGGGGAAATTAAACACAGGTGCAGGAGGAGAATGGACCTGCAGCAGAGAAGCTGACTCTACAGGGACTATTTTTTCCAGGCAGCCCCACCCCCACTCCACTCTCTGGCAGGGTTGTCTATGTTTGCTCCTCATTGCTTGTTCTGCTGATCATTCCTCTTTGCTTGGTGCTTACCCAGTGGCCAGCTCTCCTTTCTGGAGACCCAGTGTGGATTTCCATGGTTGTGCTGCTCCTGGTGCTCATCACTGGGATCACTGGGGTCATCTGGAGACAGCCACAGAGCTCCAGTCCCCCTCACTTTAAGGTCCCTGCTCTGCCTCTCCTCCCACTACTGAGCATCTTTGTGAATGTTTGCCTTATGATGCAGATGACAGCTCGCACCTCGGTGGCATTTGGTGTCTGGATCTTGATTGGGTTGGCTCTCTACTTCAGCTATGGGATCCAGCACAGCAAGCTCACTTAACCCTACTTAAGTTAGGACCCAAACTGTAGATCTTGAACTCAGCAATGCCAGTACACATTTGACTTAACATCATCAGAACTGAATTCAGTCTCATTCGTCTGTGGAATAATGGAGAGTAGTCTTGAGCACATGGAAAACCAGGTCTTCCATGGGATATTGGTGGGAGAATACTAATAGAGCTCTGTATTTATTATAGAGTTGTTTGTTTTTGTTTTTGTTTTTACTTGTTTACTTTTCAAACGTGTCTATAGTTGCTTTCTGCCTTTAAGGCAATCATTATCGGGGCGTCTGGGTGGCTCAGTCAGTTAAGCGTCCGACTTTGGCTCAGGTCATGATCTCACGGTTCATAGGTTCAAGCCCCGTGTTGAGTTCTGTGCTGACTGCCAGCTCAGAGCCTGGAGCCTGTTTAGAATTCTGTGTCTCCCTCTTTCTCTGACCCTCCCCTGCTCATGCTGTCTCTCTCTCTCCCAGAAATAAACTTTTAAAAAACATTTAAAAATTAAAAAAAAAATTTATGTATTTCTGAGAGAGAGAGAGAGAGAGAGAGAGAGAGAGAGAGCATGAGCAGGAGAGGGTCAGAGAGAGAGGGAGATATAGAATCTGAAATAGGCTCCAGGCTCTGAGCTGGCAGCACAGAGCCCGACGCGGGGCTCAAACCCACGAACTGTGAGATCATTACTTGAGCCAAAGTCGGACGCCCAACCGACTGAGACACCTAGGCGCCCCCAAAACATTAAAAAAAAATTTTAAAGCAATTATTATTAAAAGAAACCAGACAAAGTGTTTTTCGTTTTCTTTGTGTAAATATCCAGTAGTCAAAAATGCTAATTCTATTGCGAATTTGTTGAGGAACACACCTAATGTTTTCCACAGTGGCTGCACCAATTTACATTCCCACCCACAGTGCATGAGAATACTTTTTCGTCTATATCCTTGCCAACACTTGTTATTTCTTGTCTTTGTTATTTTAGCCATTCTGACAGTTGTAAAGTGATATCCTGTTGTAGTTTTAATTTGCATTTCCCTGAAAATTAGTGATGTTGAGCATCTTTTCATGTATCGTTGGCTTTCTGTATGTCTTTAGAAAAATGTCTATTCATATCCTATGTCCATTTTCAGATTTGATTATTTGTTTTTTGATGCCGAGTTGTGTAAGTTCTTTATGTATTTTGGATTTGATCACTTATGGGATATATCATTTGTAAATGTCTTCTCCCATTCAGTTCTTTTTTTTTGTTTATGGATTCCTTTGTTCTACTAAAGCTTTAATTACAAGATTTCTAAAAGATATATGCACCCCTATGTTTATTCCTCCATTTATTACAATAGTCAGGACATGGAAGCTACCCAAGTGTCCATCTACAGATGAATGGATAAAGAAAATATGGCATACACACACACACACACACACACACACACACACACTGGAATATTATATTACTGAACCAAAAAAAGAATGAAATTTTGTCAACTGTAACAAAAAGAATGGACTTAGAGGGTATAATGCTAAGTAAAATAAGTCCATCTCAGAAAAACAAATACCATATATATTCACTCATATGTGGAATGTAAGAAATGAAATGAATGAATAATGAAAAAGAATAGAAAAATATAAACAGCCTCAAACTTTTTTTAATTTAGAGAGAAAGAGAACAAGAGAAACCAAGAGAGTGAGCAGGGTAGAGGGGCAGAGGGAGAGAGAATCTTAATCAGGCTTCATGCTCAGTGTGGATCCCAATGCAGGGCTTGATCCCACACCTTTGGGATCACGATCTGAGCCAAAATCAAGAGTCCATCTGATGCTCAACGACTGAACCACCCAGGCACACAGACCCCAGCCTCTTAAATACATGGAACAAACTGATGGCTGCCAAAGTAAGGTGGGTGGGCCAATGAATGAAATAGAAAAAGGGAATTTAAGAGTACACTAATCTTGATGAGCTCTGAGAAATGTATAGAATTGCTGAATCATTTTATTGTACACCTGAAAGTAATATGACAACACTATATATTCATTATATTTCAATTAAAAAATAAAGAAACTAGAAAAAGACCAGAAAAAGAGATAAAGTATGACCCCTGCCTTTATGGAGCATATATTCCAATATAAGGGACAATGCATAGCTGTAACACAAAGTAGAAACTGTTGTCATGAGTAATATAAAATAGAGTGTCTTGGGAATTCAAAGTGGAATGATCATTTGTGGCTGGCATAGAGGTAAAGATTGGTGAAATGAGAGAGGACTTTGTAGAGGAATGGCATTTGAATGGACTCTCTCTAAGGACAGATATGATTTTCCTACATCTGGGCAGCAGAGATAGACTGTAGGCAGGGAGAACACCTCAGGAAAAAGCACAGGAAAATGAAGCAGTGTTCAGAACACACTGAGCATGCTGTGTAGCTTGAGCCTTGAGCCTGTGGGGGGGGGGACCAACAGAACATACATAGGTGGATTGGAGCCAGAGCTTTCCTCTGAGCATAAGGCACTTTGGCTTTGAACCCACTAACCACACTGAAAATCCTTGGGGTTGGTTCTCCTACTTGGTGACATCAGCATTCTTGGACTTTAACGTTTCTCTACTATTGTCTGCTTTGGCCCACCTGCTCAGAAAATACACAGCTGAGAGCCAAGTGTCCTGGGTTGTGGTCTTGTTTCTGCCTCTAATCGGCAATGTGAACTTGAGCAAGCCACTCAGCTAACTTAAACGCTCTGCTTTTTTTATTTGTAACAGGAGAGGTGAGAACTAAACACTTCTAAAGTTCTGTTTACTTAAAAAATTCTAAAATTTCCTTTGGTTCTTCTGTCCTATTATTCTCCCACTAGGTCTCTCTACTGCATGCATCCTGAACCTGAATTTTGCCCATGTTTCACTACAATCTACTGTTGGAACTGTAGAGGTCCAATAAATAATACCCTATTTTCCTTTTCTATGTTTGGAACCAATTAATAATCAAGACATAGAGACACGTGATTAAACTATCACTGTAGCCTAATTGGTTTGCTAATCCCACATCACTAAATTAGGCAAACTGACTTCTCATCAGTGTTGAGCACTCTGGGCCCCAACCACAGAAGAGAGTCTCCTTTTATTAGATTTTCTCCTGTGTGAGTTAAGTTGAAATGCATGTGCCCTTTGGGCAGATCGGCCCTGGATAAAAACCAAAACAAAACCAAAAAACCAAAACAAAGCAAAGCAAAGCAAAAACCAAAATAAATTAAAAACTGGAAGAGTCTGAGCTGGGTATGCTCGGTACTGTCTCTTCAACTCACTAATCAAAGTCACAATGTGAGAGGGTGAGTGGAGAGAGGCTAGGAATGGTACTGTTCTCAATGATGTTCATATTTCAGCTGGTGTCACCTCACCTTAAGGGCTGAAAACACAGACTGCTGGTCCCCTCCCCCAGCCTTTGGAATTCAGTAGGTCTGGGTGGGGCCCAGAATTTGTACTTGTAACAAGTTCCAACATATAGAAAACATATGTTCCAACATATAGAAAAAGTTCCAGCTGAAGCCCCTCCACATGTATAGATGAAAGGAGGAAAACCAAGGCACCCTTTGAACACTTACCTTCACTTAATGAGGCATTTAGAGTAAAATACCATTGTTAATCCTTTCACAGTGGGGAAATCATAGTGAATCATTTCACAATGTATATGTTTATCAATCACCACAATGTACACCTTAAATGTCTTACAATTTTATATGTCAATTATACCTCAATAAAGCTGAAATAAAAGATATGACATTTATCTGTGAGCCTTTGTTTTCTTTATTTTAGTCCTGATTATAGATCATAAGTTAGGGGTGTAAATTTTTCACTCCTCCAGAGCATCAACCTGGTCACCACGCACATAATGAGTATTTAATAAATTCATGTTAAATTTAATTGAGCCTTGCACATTTCTTTGGTAGAGAATATTCTACTTTCCTGCGGATTAGCACTGTGCTACTCCTTTAAAACAATCTACTGGGAGACTTCCTTGAGAAATAGCATTTCTCTCCACCCAGAACTATATGTACAACTATATCTAGATTTGTACCCAGCATTTAGACCTGTACCCAGGCACTTCTAGTTTTGTCTTTGTGTGGCTCTGCCCAAGTTCTGGTGATTATCCTATCTGTTCCATCAGAGTGGAGTCTTGCTCAGGGAAAAGGGTAGGTTCTCCCCTTCCTGTAGACCCAACATTTAAGAACAGTGTTGTTCCTTTATTTTTTTTCTTAATAGTTTATTGTCAAGTTGGTTTCTATATAACACCCAGTGCTCATCCCAACAAGTGCCCTCCTCCATGTCCATCACCCTCCTTTCCCTCTCCCCCACTCCCAACAGCCCTAGTTTGTTCTCAGCATTCAAGAGTCTCTCATGGTTTGCCTCCCTCCCTCTCCCCAACTATTTTTTCCCTTCTCCTCCCCCATGGCCATCTGTTAAGTTCCTCCTAATCCTCCTATACATGCAAACATACGGTATCTGTCCTTCTCTGTGTGACTTATTTCGTTCAGCATAACACACTCAAGTTCCATCCACGTTGCTACAAATGGCCAGATTTCATCCTTTCTTATTGCCATGTAGTATTCAATTATATAGATAAATCACATCTTCTTGAACCATTCTTCAGATGATGGACATTTAGGGTCTTTCCATGATTTGACTATAGTTTAAAGTGCTGCTATGAACATTGGGGTACAAGTGCCCCTATGCCTTAGCACTCCTGTATCCCTTGGGTAAATTCTTGCTGGGTCATAGGGGAGTTCCATTGTTAATTTTTTGAGGAATCTCCACACTGTTTTCCAAAGGGGCTGCACCAGTTTACATTCCCACCAACAGTGTAGGAGGGTGCCTGTTTCTCCACATCTTCACCAGCATCTATAGTCTGATTTGTTCATTTTAGCCTCATTGACTGGCGTGACGTGGTATCTCAGTGTGGTTTTGATTTGTGTACCCCTGATGATGAGTGACACTGAGCATCATTTCATGTGTCTGTTGGCCATCTGGATGTCCTCTTTGGAGAAGTGTCTGTTCATATCTTCTGCCCATTTCTTTATTGGATTGTTTGTTTTTCCGGTGTGGAGTTTGGTGAGTTCCTTATAGATTTTGCATATTAGCCTTTTATCTGATATGTCATTTGCAACTATCTTTTCCCATTCCGTTGGTAGCCTGTTA